AAGTCTCTCCATTTGTGAAATTACCACACAAACCTGACCTCTATCACTTAATATATGTTTTCACAAACAGCTGGGAGGAGAGCTCTGATGTCTGAGATCACTATTCAAATCTCTGTAGGGCCTTGAAATCAGAGTTTCCTGGTTGTGTTTGCATCTCCCTTATCCATGTACTTTACTGCAGACTTTCTTTTCCATACATAGGATTATTTCCAGCCTCCCATCTCAGGACAATGTGTGTCTTCCAGATTTGCCAGGGTAACTCCGCAGGTGGATTTCCTGGTTGTGTTTGCATCTCCCTTATCCATGTACTTTACCGCAGACTTTCTTTTCCATACATAGGATTATTTCCAGCCTCCCATCTCAGGACAATGTGTGTCTTCCAGATTTGCCAGGGTAACTCCGCAGGTGGACTTTAACTTCAGTATCCACCTGTGCAGGGTACCAACTAGTTGTTAGTGTGTATTTTTGTTTACTTGACTCGAAGTTGTTCAGTGTGGATGTGGACCTACCAGAGGTTAGATTTAGCTCCCCCAGTGAAGAGCAAATGGCCTTAAATCGTGTGTAGGAGCAGGTATACCAGTTAAGCATGGTCCTCTCTCTTCCACTCATCCCCTTGCCCACAGGACTAGCTTTTATGACCGTAAGCAAATGTTTGGCCTTTTGCAGGGAGAGGTGGGAGGTAGAGTTTTTGAGACTAAGTTCAGCTTCGCGGGAGAAGAACGGGACTCCCCGCCCCGCAGCCCTGGAGGTGCGGGGGCTCATGGGGTGAAGGGGGCAGAACAAGACCCTGGACGCCCTCTCCAGGAGAGCGGCTCCATAGCCCCACTTTCGTCTGGGCTGGAGGGGGGAGGCTGGGCGAGCGAAGCAGCCCCCGGCCATCTCCCCCGGGACTGGTGAGCTGGGGGGAGGGGGCGGCAAGGCGGGAGCCCCTCGGCAGGAGCTCGCTGGGGCGAGGGGCGCGCGGGCAGGTCTGGGGAGAGACTGAACGCCTTGGAAACAACCAGCATCCCTGGGACTGAGGGTTTGCGTCGGTGGACTCGGTAGAAGATGGGCTCGCGCTTTGGTTTGGGGACGATTGTCCGGTTCTAGCCGGCCTACCCTTCGGGGAAGAAGACAGCCCAGGAGTTGAGGCTCCCGGGCCCCAGGGGGCGGACTAGGTGCTGGGAGAGCGAGTCCCTTCCGGGAAAGGGTGTTGCGTTTCGAGGACTTGTTTGGGGACGCAGAGAGCCGAGTGGGATTTGGGGGACTCCCGAGATGCCGGGGATGGGAGACTGATGCTTCGAGCCGACTGCTCTGGGTTTTGCTTCTCCGCTTTGTAAGTTGCTGAGCTCCAAGAAGCGGCTTGGAGTTGCCTATTGGACTCCTGCTTTCGTCCGGGGTCTGCGAGTTTGTACACTGGGGACTCGGGGAGGAAGGCGAGGCAGCCAAGTGGGGGCCCGAAAGGGGCCGGGAGCGATTGGAGCGAAGCTACGTCTTGCACTTTTGGCAACTGCGGAGCAGCGCTCGGCTCCGCCTCCTCTGCTCCCTGTTGCCGGCGCCGTCTCTTTTCTCTGGCTGCGCGATCTAACCCCACGTTTTCTTGTCTCTCTCCTAGGCTTCTTTTGGAAGTTCGAGCCCAGGTTTGTCCTAGTTTCTTACCTTTTCCGTGGAGCCTAGCGGGTATTGGGGGCTTAAAGATCTGTTGCTAAAAGATTCCCCACAAAAATTCATCCTGCGAGTTTTCATCATTGGTTTTTAAGAGTTTCAGTGTGCATTTGGTAATTAAGTTGTTGGAGGAAGGAACAGTTGTGCTCTTATTCTTTTTTTTTCCCTTTTCATGTTGAAAAGTACCTGTTACAAAGCTGCTAACAGACAAGTGTTCTTTTAAGTAATATGTCTTTAATTTTCACATATCTTGTTTTTTCCTCCAAGCCTGAAACAGTTAATCCTAAATCAACTTTACACCAATTTTAGAAGTTTATATTTTAATTTCACTTTCTTCATGAGATTGACTCTTTCTCAAAACTTACAAGTGTTCTTTTAAGTAATATGTCTTTAATTTTCACATATCTTGTTTTTTCCTCCAAGCCTGAAACAGTTAATCCTAAATCAACTTTACACTAATTTTAGAAGTTTATATTTTAATTTCACTTTCTTCATGAGATTGACTCTTTCTCAAAACTTTGTGGCTGCTCAGATTATTAACTGTAACTCCCCATTTTCCCTTGTTTTGTGTTTCTTTCATAATTGAGAAACGTGTTCAGATTGTGTTAAAACTGAAAATTGCTATTTAGGTCAAGATACCTTAATCAGAAACTAAACCAAAACAAAAAACAGAACTTCTAAGTTTGGCATAGAAAAGTGGTGGTTACGGATTTTTGAGTTGAGACGACCTTAGATTGTCTAGTACAGTGTTTCTTAACCTTTTTGAGGTCATATATTCCTGTCAAGATCTGATGAAAACAAGGAACTCTCTCCCTAGAACTCTGCAATATGCATAATACACACAATTATACACATATAATACACACAGTTTGGGGGTTTTGGAACCCCTGAAGTTGGTCCATGGCGAAGACCTTTCCTCATGTGTTAAAATGTAAGGATATCTTTGTTCCAATTTCTCCTCCCCTTTCAAGCTCCTCTCTTGACTGCCTCTTTTCCTTCTTAAAGTCTCCAGGAAAAGCGCCTCTGAACTAGTCCAACACCCTTATTTTACAGTTGAGGAGACTTTTAAGTAACTGTACTGATAGTCACCTAGTTAGTAGAGGAGTGTGGATGAGCTCTCAAATATTCCATTATAATGTGTCATCTTAGAGTGAACAGTCCGTTTCCTTGCAATGTTACTTTTTTGTATTTAGTCAACTTTTAAGGTCTCTCTTGATTATCATTTAAGGTGTTATAAAAATAATCAACACCAAGCAGAAGAAATTTGTGACTATTTAAAAAATAGCTGTCTACATCTTTACACTTAAAAATTGTTTTAAAATCACTAATTTTGAGACAAATATTTCTTTGTTATAACTGATTTCAAGAAAAGAATATTTATGTGCATGATGCCAAACATCTGGATGATAATGGAATTTTTTCCATTTTGCTGTCGTCTTCTTTTTCACTGTCTTCAGAAGTTGCAATCTAAATAAAAAGCCCAAAGATAGTGTAATTTTGATGTCTAAAAAGACTTATAACCTGTTTTTAATCAATTTCCCACTTTTTAAAGAGAATTTTAGAACTGGAAGGGACTTGAGGTCATTTCAGTCAACCCTATGTATCTTATGAATGAAAATCTGGAGTTAAACTGAGAATTTAAATGACTTGCCTCACATTCCAGAAAGCCGAGAGTAGACCTCAGGCCCTTTGATTTCTGGCTCTTACTGAATACCTTCCATGTTAAGGGGGAAGCCTGCCATGCCAAGTGATATGGGGTTAACAAAAGAGGGCAGAGCTCTACTCTCAAAGAGCTGGAAAAGGTGGTATTTGTTTTATCCCTGACACTTTGGCATACCATGGAGGTTTCCAGGAATTCCTCAGAAAAAAATTTGTAATTGAGATGTTCTGGTTTTGACCTAATTAATAAATATTCATCTTTCTCTTTAAAATTAAGTTAAACCACATATACTTCAACAGGTTTGTGAGTGAGCAGATAAATTTTTCAGCATTAAAGAGATAACATCATAATGTAAACCTCTTGAAGAATTAAGTCTTATAGAAATTGTATAATTTTAAAGACTAATAATGAGAGTTCTCTGAACTCAGAATAAAAACTATTGAATTATGTCTATGGTTTTTCCATAGTGAAAAATCTTTGGCCTAGTTCATTGTTTCAGTAATGATCTTGCACTGTCCTTCAATGTTTGAAAATTTAAGATATTAAATAATTTGACTAAAAACAAACCAGACTTTTTATGTTGGATATGATTCCATCCACTTCTTCCTTCCCCTACCCCCAGATTCTGATACTTCTTTCCTGCACTGCTCTGAGAGTCACTGGTCTAATTGCACTAGATACTAGGGTAAAACATGGAAAAAAAAATCCCGTTTTTCATAAATTCAGTTTCTTTCTCTTGGGATTATAGATTTTATTTATTTCTTCTCTTGGTTTTTGGAGTAGTCTGTTGACTTCATATTTGCTATTTAAAAGCATTAGAATTGTATAAACAAGTATGAATTGACCAAAACAACTTGCAATGGGATATATCTTCCAAAACCTTAAGATAGGATTTTCTATATTACCCTCACATAATCCTCTAAGAACTTTATTAGTTATCCAAAGTACAGCTGGCCAGTTGGCTCACTTGGTTAGAGCATGGTGTTATAACACCAAGGTCAAGGGTTTGGATCCAAATACTGGCCAGCCGCCAAAAACAAAAAACAAAGTAAAGCATAGTCTTACAGTTTCAAGTCTGTCTGATTAACACTGAGGAGACTGAAATACTGTTATAGATATGTAAAGTGATAGATATAGTGCTTTTAAAAATCTGAATTGCTATATAGCTGCTTCACAAAAACTCGTATTTATTCTGTAAATTAGATTTAGGTTGTGTTTCGTGTCGTTATTTGAGGATTAGAATTTGGGTAAACTTTATATTCTCCCGTGAAGTGTTAGTATAGTGGATTCTTGTGAAGTCTTCGATTCATGAAAATTTAATTCTTCTGACATTTTACTATTGCTTTTAGACAAATGAATTAAAGTAACTGATGAGCAAGTTTGGCTGCTTTTCTATTCGTTTATTTAAGACCACGCCATTTAAATCACTTTGTTGCTGTTATAAGTTATTTTCTCATGGACTGCACCCTTTGTAAAAAGTGTTTGTAAATCACTCTGCCTTGTTCTTTTGCTTATTTAGATATATTTTCAGAACAGTATGGTCATACTTTATAACCTGTAAAGTGTATAGTAAAGTCTTAACAAAACCCACATATAAACATTAAAAGGGACTGGCAGAAGAACACAATTTTTATTTTCTTTTGTAAATAGCCTTGTGAATGTATAAAGTGATTCAGTTTGTTTCATTTCAGTTGGGTCTTTGTCTTCTGAGGATCATGATTTTGACCCCACTGCTGAGATGTTGGTCCATGACTATGATGATGAAAGAACTCTTGAAGAAGAGGAAATGATGGATGAGGGTAAAAACTTCAGTTCTGAAATTGAAGACTTAGAAAAGGTAAAGGATTTACTCTAGTATTTTAATACAAACTGGTAGTAAAGACTTTGAAATTCTATTATAAATTATTTCACAGTCTACCTGAAATAAAAATAGTATCAGTATCTTTTTTTTTTTTTGACCTAACCTTTACTGAATGTCATCAGTTTTCTCATTATTTTGGAGAATAGCCTAATAAGTACATTTTCATTTAATTTTTCAAAATATAAATTATTTCACAGTCTACCTGAAATAAAAATAGAATCAGTATCTTTTTTTTTTTTGACCTAACCTTTACTGAATGTTACCAGTTTTCTCATTATTTTGGAGAATAGCCTAATAAGTACATTTTCATTTAATTTTTCAAAATTATTATATATTTGTTAACTTAATTTTTAAGCTCATACTAGCACAGTGAAGTAGGTACATCTAGTTATCTTATACATGAGAATATTGAGGTATAGAGAACTGAATCTAAACTGAAACACTAAACTCAGTTCTTAATCCTAGCCCAGCCCTCTTTCCATAGCACACTATTCTGCTGAGAGTCGAACTTGAGTTTAACTAAGTACTGTAGTAGATACAAGGAGAAGTCTTTTTCTTCAAATAACTTATAATTTGGTAGAATACTGTGAGAAAATTGAAAAAAGTTTTACTATTTTTTAAATGTAAGTTAGTTATATCCCATCCCCTTCCCCTGAGTCATCTTTTAAAGAGTTGGCAGGAGTGAGTATAGTTTATAACTTTTTTTTTTTTTTTTCCTGACCAGTAAGGGGATCGCAACCCTAGGCATGGTGTTGTCTGCACCACGCTCAGCCAGTGAGCGCACTGGCCATCCCTATATAGGATCCGAACCCGCGGCCTTGGTGCTACCAGCGCCGCACTCTCCTGAGTGAGCCATGGGGCCGGCCCAATTTATAACTTTTTAAACCCAAAGTCAATATAAAGTTAAATGAACTGTGTTTTAAACATGCATGTATACCAGGACTATAGAGAGACGCCTCCATAGGGGTCACCTTGAAAAACTATAGGATTATGCTCTGTACATTAACCTTATTTGAAGATTTCAAATCAGCCTATAATAACAAAAGCTTTCAGGAATAATATTGAATAATACTAATCCTCTGAATTCTCATTCCTCTTTTTGTTGCAGAAGGCAAAGCACATTTTTATATAATCTTCTCTGCTTACTATCTTTGAGAGACAGGGGTGGGTATTACTGTATTTTTTCCTTCATATTAATACACAGGGAAACAGAAGGCAGATTCTTCAGGGCCTAGACCCCAGGCTTGCTCCAATAGACCTGAAATTTTCTAAACATGTTCATTCATTTGACCAATTAATTCAACACAGTTGCAGTTAGACTTATTCACTTAAAATAAACATCTCCTATGAAAGCTAAACAGATCTGGGAATATAAAACTAAAATTGTTATTAAATACTCAAGTGACAGAAGAAGGAAAGTCTTTTGCCTGTTGCTCATTTCAGGGGTGATGATAAAATGTTGCCTGTTGCTGAGAAAAGATGCCCAAGAGTCTTGAGCTCTGCCTTGGCTTTATTCAAGCAGTTCCTTCCTACCTCTTATGAGTGAGTAGCCTAGAATAATTGAGAATTACAATCCAACTAACATTATCACAAAGCCAAGGATTGTGTTAGGTCCTGGGATTGCAAAAATGAGCAATTTGACAATATCTCTGAACTCTAGGAGTTTATAGTCTAGTTAATGCAAGGTGACAAATGGCAGCAAAGATTTTTAGTATGATATACAGTTGGCCCTCCATATCCATAGGTTCTGCATCCATGGATTCAACCAACCATAGATCAAAAATATTCGGGAAAAAAAATTGCATCTGCTCTGAACATATACGACTTTTTTTTTTTTTGTCACTATTCCCTAACACATACAGTATAACAACTATTTACATAGCATTTACATTGTGTTAGGTCTAGGGCCATACATTGTGTTAGGTATTGTAAGTAATATACAGATGATGTAGAGTATACAGGAAGATGTGCATAGGTTACACTCACATGCAAATATTATACCGTTTTATATCAGGGACTTGAGCATCTGTGGTTTTTGATATCCGCTGGAAGTCATGGAACCCAGTCCCCCACAGATATTGAGGGACGACAGTACTAAGAAATATGGAAGAGGTAGACAGTAAGAGCTATGGGAGAAAGGGTATATATATTTAGTAAAAGATGCTTAGCCTGGTGTGGAAGTTCAGGGAAGGCGTCTTAGAGTAGACCATACTTCTCTTCTGTAGTTTTAAGTCAGAACTCTGTTGTGGGTGTGTTCTGTGGGCGTGGGACGAAAGTACCAGGTGTTCTCATAGCACCTTCCTTGATAAAGTGTTTTGTTACACAACAGCAGTCTAGTTACAAAATTATATGAGAAAACGTTTGATAAAAATGTGTCAGATTGCATTTTATCCATATAAATAGTCATTTGTTAGTAAAATAGTAAGAACTAGATTTTGTTTGCTGTGTTAACTTCGTTACCACTTGAGTGTGGGTAATCTGGAAGAGATTTTTATGGGCTGGTAATATTTTATTTTTCAGATTTGTAGGTTTTTTCCTCCCAGAGATTGTTATGATAGCTGAGTTTAGTGAGTTAAAAGGAAAAAAGATTAAAAAAAAAATGGTCAAGAGCAAAGAGTTACTAAATTAGCTATTCACAGAAATACCTAGTCCCTATTCCTATGATTTTCATTTTGTTTAGTAAACTCTGGTAATTAAATCTTTGCTTTGTAATATCTATCACTGAGTTTGTAGATCCAGAAAAATGATAGACCCTTAAATATTTCTTCTCTGTACTTGGACAGTTTTGCTTCTTAGCATTTTATCACACTCTTGGAATTGGGACAGAAAAATATGGGTGATCTTTAAACAAATTCTACAGAAGACCCAAGAGTTTTGTCTCCAACCAGAAGGCTAAGCCTTCTCTCATTGAGCGATGGACAAGAGGAGCTACTTCTAAGAGTGACTGACCCCTTCCTCTGATCTGTGGCTCTTATCTGTAGTAAAGCGTAACTGTGTAGATGTAGTCGCTATTCTTTATCGATGTTAATGAAGCATGAAAATGAATAAAAGACACAGTACATAGAGTTATAAATATAAAAATTAAGGGTCATTAAATCTCTAGAAGAAATTTTAAGTTATGTTTTGAATATTTTCATGTAATTTAAAGTAATGTGTTCTATTAATCTTTTATTATTGGAATAGCGACTTAGGTATTAGTACATGTTAATAGTCCTAGGGACTTGATGTTAATGTTCATTTTCAAAAATTATAAGTAAACTTTTATGCTCATAGTAAATAAACTTGGATGTTTGCTGACTGTAAATATAGTGTGTGTTTTCATGCTTACAGATTTTTAGTACATCATATGTTACGGAAAATGAGTACAAAGTCAGTTTTTTTATAGTAGCTCTTTGGTGAGTATACAGTGTAGATTAAGTGACTAGATTTTAGTTATTAAACATTCTAAAATAAGGTTTATATCATGTCTTTATATATTTTAATTTATTCATATTACTTTCTGAGAACTTTTAACAGTCCCAGATTTAGAGGTAGAACTTTTTAATAAGTTACTATCATTCCATTTTTTAATATACAGATTTCCCACCTGATGTTCATTGTGAGAAGATTCCAAAAATTTAGAAAAGCGTAAATACATGAGAAAGTAAAAAATCACCTTTTCTACCACTTAGACTTTAGTACAGGTCCTTCCTTTTTTTTTTTAAGCATTTAAAAAAATTATATGTATGTTGTTTTGCAACCCATACTTTAAAGTATCAGACCGGTGTTATTTTAGTTACTAAAATTTATCTGCACCTCACTTAGACAATCTCATTTCACCCATCCAGCAGTGCTATCAGGTGTGTCAGATGAGTATTGGCTTTATTTCCTTGGCTCACAGGCCTTGTTGACTATAAGATATACCACTGATTTAGAAATAGCATAGCTGTGGGTGGGGATGAACATTACTATGTGAAATTTCTTCATTGGTTATGGGATGGATCCTGATTTCTAATGTGTGGAGGTGTGCATCATAGGATCAAGGAAATGACGGTATTTTACTGTTACAGATGAGGAAGTGGAAGTGAGAGGGGGTAGGTGATTTGCCCAAGGTAAGGGTTAGCAATTAGTGGATTCTCTGCTCCTAAATCTTGTACTCTTCCTTATATAAAAAGCATTCAGCTTACAAAACAGTTTATTTATAAAGGGTACTAGACTCAACTTTGTGCCTTAAAATTTAAATAGGTTCAACAAAATACCCAAGAGAAAGACAGAAGAGAAAAATCCTTATACCTGGAATAAGGTGGTGGATCAAACTTCTAATCTACCCACCACAGATCCTTAGAGACTTTGAGATTTACTAATTCAATCTTGAAAAAATTGTTCCTAAGCTTCAAAGGAATGAGTGCTTTATTAATAGTCTCTAATAGAAAGCTCGTTTGTGAAGTGCTTCAGAGACTGGATTCACCTTTTCCAGGTTTGCTTGAAAAATTTAGTACAGATACTTTGTGTTTCAGCACCAACCCACCAGCCACCAGTGTCATGTCTTGAACTTATTAATGAGGTATCCACTAAGATGGCCACCTTCTCCCTCAACAAATGAACATGCTCATGTCTTTATGGAGAAAGTAGGGGTTTTCATGAGTGTCTAGCTGGAGCCTCCTATTTCTTCCACAGATACAAACTTTGCCTTTATATTCATTCCCTCCTGTCCCAGAAGTAGCGGTCATACTTCCTTCTTTCCCTCCTGTCCCAAAAGTAGCTCCCATATCCCAGGCTAACCCCTAGATTCCCTCCCCCCTGCCCTAGTTAATTCTTTTTTAAAAAAAAATTTAACATAGCATCCTACTCACACATTTCTCATATTTGGAAGAAATTCTCTTTTGACCCTGTGTTGCCCTCAGTCATTCTTTTGTAGACAGCTTTCACGGATGTATATGCCTTTTCTCCCCTCACAGTCCTTAGTTTGGCATTTTCCACCCCACTGTATGGTCACCAATAATTTCTGATTGCCAAATACAAAGAATTCTTGTCTGTCTTTATCTTGTTTGATTTCTCTTTAGTAGTTGACCCAAGTGACAAGTGACTATCCCTGGTTTCTCTACACTTCCTTAACTTATATAATCCTTCCTTCTCCTAGTTCTGCTTCTCTACAGTGTCCCCCTTGGTCTTATTTATGGGCTTTCCCTTCTTTGCCCACATTTTAAATGATGGTGTTCTCCAGGGTTTTAGCTTTTGTCTTCTCATATGCCTTTTCTGGGTGATCTCACCAAACCCACTGCTTCAGCTTTCACCTTCAGCTCATTATTAATTACCATCCCACCACAGAGCTTGTTTTGTGTTTCTGTCTCGTGACGGTGCTATAGCTGTCTAACTTCTCAGGCCAGAAATCCAGCAGTCCATTTAGACTCCTATGTTACTTTCATTCCCTCTGTCAGGTAAGTAAGAAACACTCTTTTCCCTAAATTTTGCTCAAATAATTCTCTTCCTCAGTTCAGGCTCTCATTTTTCTACTTCCTCTAGAACGTTGTTTCCGAAATGCAAATCATGTTTAAGATTTTTTAGATATATACCCCATTGCCTGTAGGGTAATATGTGTGAAAGTTTTTCTAATAAAGCATAGATCTCTCTCTTTTCTCCCTACCTTCTCTGTGGGTGAGCTCATCAACTCCTGTGGCTTTAAATATCATCTAGATGCTAATGAATGCCAGATTTATATCTTTAGCCCAGCCTGATTCTCTGAGCTGCACGCTCCTGGCCAACTTGACTTTTCTACTTGGATGTTTCACAGTCCTTTCAAATGTAACTGGTGTCCTCTACAGAACTCTTAATTTTTTTTCCTTCAAAAGCCTTTCCTACCTTTAGTCTTTTCTATCACAGTAAAAGTTATTACCATCTAAGCAGTTGTTCAAATAGAAATCTGGGGAGTTGTCCTTCCCTCTCCTTTTCACTTCTACATCCAGTAACCCGTTTGATTCCACTGCACAATATATCTCTTCTATTCACTTCTCCATGTCTGTATCACTACCCTGACCCAGCATGAGGCTCCTTAAGTGGTCTCCCTGCTTCTCTTGTATCTTTCCACCCGCAACACCCACTTTTATAGTTCTCCTTTTTATAATTCTCCAGTGGTTTCTCATTGCCCTGAGAATAAAGTCTGCATTCCTTTCCCTGGCTGTGAGGCCCTTTGAGATCTATCCCTGCCTCTTTTTCCATTATCTTCTTGAGCCACTCTTCATTCTGCTCACTGAGCTTTGGCCACTTGGCTTAGTGGGAAACCACCTAAAGTCTTCAAGTGTGTCATTTCTTTTGACTGGGATGTTCATGGGACTGGCCACTTCTCAGACTTTGGGTCTCAGCTGAAGATCATTGACTTTCTTTCCTTGCTACCCTGTGGAAGTAGACTCCCAATGTTACTCTGTATCTCAGGGCCCTAATTGTTTCCTTTGCACTCCTCATAATTGACAGTTATTGCCAGTACCCTCTCCCCTTCTGCTCCTCCCAACTGTAAGCTGTAGAAGGGAAAGGCCTGTGTTTCACACCAGCACCTGGCACAGTGGCCTCCTGGTGCACCGTCAGTGCTCAGTCAGTGTTAGTGGTGATGGTCCATGCACCCCTGGGTCACAGCCCTCATCTGTCAAAAGCCTCTTTGTCTTTCAAGACTTAGCTCAATCTTTGCCCTCTGTGTACCTCCCTACCCCATACCGTTATTCCGAGGGCATAGTTCTTCCCTACTTTGTACTCACAAGTTCATAGCACTAATTCCAGAATTGAGTACTGCCCCCATCACATTATAATTGTTAACTTAGTTTATCTTACTAAGACTGAATTCCTTGAGAGGAGTGATTTTTCTGTAAATTTCATTTGTATATCCGTAGCCAGTAGACCTCAGCAAAGTACCTAGAACCCAGGAAATGATGGGAGGGTGGACTATAGTGCATAGTAAGTGAAAATTGCCATCTCCCCAGCTGAAGGAGGGGGTCTGAAACTGTGAGGTTTTGGAGAAATATTACTGGCAGGTGTTGGGCAAAGGCTGTAACCCAGTCACCTTTTATGTTATAACCAATATGAGCCAAAGGAAATGGGCTACATGATCTGTGCAAGGAGCAAGAATAGGGCTTTGGAAAGACTCTAAACCTGATTCTGGTCACCTTCGAGGGATTCTTTTGTTTGGGAGAAGAATGATTAATGGAGGTTCACCATGGTGTGGGTGAACTTCTGTCTGTCTGTCCTGACCATCCAACTTAATTTGTCCTGACTCCATGCTCCCAAAGCAATTTTTTATTGATTTTAGTCCCAAGTTGAAAGGATTTCATGAGTGACATGATTATTATGGTCATTAAAAAGGTGTATGTCTCCTACTGCAAATTTATAATTTTTTATAAATTATAAATTTTTTATAAATCATCATATACCTTATTCTAAGTTTATTTAGCACGATCTGTTTCAGTTAGGCACAGTGAAATGTGTAAGTTCCATACTTGCAAAGGTGAAGGTGAGATTTTGGGGAAACCTCAGAGCCTGTGTGCCTTGTGGGTCCTTGTGGATGGCCAGCTGGTTCTCTAGGACCAACACTGGCTCTTCTCAGTTCACATTGTGGTCAGTGGTGGATACATTTTGCACACTCTGCTTTAGCATTTTCGTGCTGTTTGTTTCATTAGTTACGTATTTTGTCTTAAGAGGAAAACTAAACCAATAAACAAGCTTTAAAAATAAATCTCTTGGGCTGGCCCGTGGCTCACTCGGGAGAGTGTGGTGCTGATAACACCAAGGCCACGGGTTCGGATCCCATATAGGGATGGCCGGTTTGCTCACTAGCTGAGCGTGGTGTTGACAACACCAAGCCAAGGGTTGAGATCCCCTTACCGGTCATCTTTAAAAAAAAATAAATAAATAAATCTCTTAATCGATGGACACAAACATCTTAAAAATATTTAACAAATCAACTAGTTCATGAATAGTATATTGTTTTGAAGTTATATGAATGATTATAAATAGTTCTATATACTTTAGTAGTTAAAATATATTTTAAAAGGAATTGTAGCACTTACTTACAGATAGGTTAGTTGGGGTTGGGGGGAACAGTGACTGGGTGTCACTATGTGGCTTGGCATAGGAATTCATAACACTGCAACACTGGAGCCAGAGCACGAAATTTAATCAAAGCAGTGCAGTGAATAAGAACTTGGGGGACTGGGATTCCAACCAAGAACTAAGCCTCAGTTTCCTTACCTGTAAGATGGTAACAATAATACAGTCTTCATCAGATGGCTATTAAAAAAAACTGGTATAAAATTTCAGGTATAGTAATAAGAATATAAAAGGATAATTGTGCTTTGAGTGTTAATATATAAATATTGCTAGTTGTAGTAAATGTTCAGTAAATGTTAATTTCCTATCAGGTATCTTCTACTTAACATGAAGAATAAACCAAATGGCCAACTTAATGGCAGGGAAACAAGCTGTAAATTACATGACATTATCGATTGATTAATTGGAAATGTTTTCAAGACAAATCTCTATACTAATATGAAAGCTAAAATAAGGTCTGCACTAAAGCAAATATTTGTGGATTTTTTTAAAAAGTAAAATAATGCTGGAAAATAAAACCTAAGGTGGTGTTATGCTTTTGTTAATACAGTGCATTAATTATAGCTCTAGGTATATAGTCCTGTCTTTTGATACAAAAGGAAAAACTAAAACTTGGCTTTGACTGGTACTGCTGTTTTGATAATGTGTTTTATGAGCTTAAGAGCATCACAGTTTTCTTGCAGTTCAGTATTATGACATCTACCGAGTTCATATTTGTGCCCTGGTTTGAATAGGAAGGAAACATGCCTCTAGAAGATTTACTGGCGTTCTATGGCTATGAACCTACAATTCCAGCAGTTGCCAGTTCCAGTGCAAATAGCTCTCCAAGTGAACTTGCAGATGAACTACCAGATATGACACTAGACAAAGTAAGTACCAGCATTTAGAAGAAAAATTCAGGATCCATTACCATTGACTGTTTTTGTTAGTGTTTCCCTTCATTGTAAGCATTTTACAATTCTGAAATGTAAACTTCTTGTTGACTCATTGCTCTTATTATTTTGGTGACTGATTTAAACTTTGGCTTTGATCACACTATTTTAAGAATAGTAGTAGCTTCATAATACTTTGCATGCCTGAGTATCTTCTCATAATTTTTTCATCTTTTCTGTATAGACACATTGTATCTAAACTTAGATTTTTGCCGCCTGAGTATCTTCTCATAATTTTTTCATCTTTTCTGTATAGACACATTGTATCTAAACTTAGATTTTTGCCTTAACCTCTTTTGATCATGTAAACACATGAATGCATTGATTAATAAATGCATTGATTAATAAATCCCCCAGAAGCCTTCAAACCAAGCTGGCTTAGGCCTGGAGTGGTTGGAGAGAAGGTCTCTTTTCTTGGCTCTGGGAGTGACAGCAGCCATAGCAGCCAAGGCCACGGTGATACATTTCTAACATAGGCTGGTAGTGGGGAAGCTTAGTAGCTGCTGAGGAAAATTTCACACAACCACGGTCTTTGCTAACAGATCCCTGGGAAGCTTTTCTGGCCTTTCAGATCTCAGACAGGGAGAGGAATCCACATCTTGGAACCTCTTCCTGTGAGTTATGTTCTTCCCACTTTTCATTCAAATGTGATATTCATGTACCACAGACCCTAATGAGCTTAGTCATTCAGCAAATATTTATTGAGTTTACCAAGCACAAGGATGACTATATACTTATATAAAAATTAACTCAAACTTGCTTCTTTTAAAATTATGTCACTAGTCAGAACTGTTCATTAGTCAGACTTTGCACTTTAAAAATTGTTGGAAGGGGCCGGCCCGGTGGCGCACTGCTGCAGTGCGCCGCTTGGGAGCGCGGTGGCGCTCCCGCCGAGGGTTCAGATCCCACATACAGACCAGTTCCCGCTCACTGGCTGAGCGAGGTGCGGGCGCGACACCGAGGGTTGCGATCCGTTGCCGGACACGAAAAAAGACAGAAAGGAAAAAAAAAAAAAAAATTGTTGGAAGAGTGGACTTTGGAGGCAATTTTTTTTTTGTTTGTTTATTTTATTTGTAAATAGTGAGTATAATTGTTAACCACTTAGAAGTCAGATTATTTTTGTTGTAAATTCACTAAAAATTAGCCTGCAGCTTCAGATAAACTCTCTGCACACCCACAAATTAGGTGATTGTTGTTATAAGTATATAAAAAATGCACTTATTGTTGTTTAGTAGTATATTATTAAATATTATATATAATTAAATATTAAATGTTATGAAATATTTATGTATATGAAGTAAATTATAGGAGAACTTCACATTTACTTCTCTCAAAACCAGGGGTGTTTCAACTAGTTCTTAATTGTGTCATGTGTTACAAAAGGACATTTTCTTAATTGATGAAAGATAATCATTTCATTTCTAACTCTAGCACTGCCTTCCTGTTCTTCCAGGAGGAAATAGCAAAAGACCTGTTGTCGGGTGATGATGAGGAAACTCAGTCTTCTGCGGATGATCTGACACCATCTGTGACTTCCCATGAAACTTCTGATTTCTTCCCAAGGCCTTTACGATGTAAGAAACCCAATTATACTGATTAATAGTACCATTAATACTTGAGTACAGTGAGTATAGCTTGAGTACATTTTATTGTGTTCAGAAGTTTATGTCAGAATATTTTAAGTGTTTTACATAGTTGAGATAAAATTATATCTGATCAAGATTATAACCTTTTTATTGGGATAGAGTTGAACTAATATGCTGTTTAAACATTGAAACATTCATTTAGTTTTGTGAAGCTGTTTTCTTTCCCAAGACTCATCTGTTGCTATGGTAACAGTCTTAGATCAGCCATGAAATTTTATAGACATTTTTGGGTTTCTGTTAAAAGGCCGTTGGTCTCCTAATTTTGAAACATTGTTAGTTTCAAAAAGCATTTTTATTTTAAGTGATTCATTTAATTCTTTTTGTTTTTTCTTTAGTTCTTGGTGTTGTCCCTTAATGTTTATCAGTAATATTAAAAAGGTTTTGGACTGAAATAATTTCTTATGTGCAATCTCACTTATATTTTTGAGGTATTTTTATGGTGGAAGAATTAAGTTCAAATACAATTCACGTGTGTGTGCAGAAACAATTTTAATGGACTTAATGTGCTGGTCTTTGTATCTCCTTCTGGATTAGTGTAATCAGAACTCCAGTGCTAAAGATGACCATAGTGGTTTCTTTTTACTTCCTAAACTATTTAACAGTACACTGTGATAATTAAAATGTGTACATTTTATTAGAGTCTTCAGTGTCTCATTTTGACTAATGGCAGTTGTAAGAATAGTGTAGGAGGTTTAGTATATTTATGCTAATCTCATTTATTCAACACGTTTTTATAAAATATATAACAGGCATTTTCCCAGATGCTGCCAAAATAGGCAGTAAAAACCTTTCTAATTTTCTTCTTTTAAGCAAATACTACATGTGATGGTGATAAGGAATCAGAGGTTGAAGATGTTGAAACAGACAGTGGTAACTCACCTGAAGATTTGAGGAAGGTCAGTTGTGTCACCATCAAAACCTAGTAGACTACTTGTACTAAAGTGGCTTTTAAAAAATTTCTGAAGTGATTTATGATAATTTTGTTGTTGCAAGATAAAGTTTCTTTTGAGTTGTAGAAACTGATTGAGTTGGGACTTTTTTTTCAGTATTTATTTTTAATAAGTTGTTTTCACTTCTACATTTCCCTGTAGGAAATAATGATTGGTTTACAATATCAGGCAGAGATTCCCCCTTATCTTGGAGAGTATGATGGTAATGAGAAAGGTAAGGAAAGCATTTGATTTTGATAATGTTTGGTAGGTCAAGTTACTACTTAATATGTTTATTTAAATATCTGATTATATACCAATCTTGGCAACACAAAGATAGATTTGGGGTCAGGGAAACTTCCAGAGTCAGGATATTTAGGCCTGACCTTCCCCTTACACACAAGAGCTTCTTAGCCATTGTGCTCAGTGTCTGTTAAAATAGTGGAGAGCCTCCTAAGGTGCAGCATCTTGGCCAATACCTGCTTTAATAGAATTTCATCACCTGAGATAATGAGAATGTTAAGGATATAATCCTCTGGAAGGAAAACTCTTGAGGAAAAAAGAAACTAGAAGAAATTCTCCTGCTCCAGTCCTGAAAGAGCAAGAGGTGGAATGTAACGATTCTATTGCTTTTACCGTATGCCACTATTTATGTGTAATCAGTTTTTCCTCACATTTTTTGGTAGATTCCAACTGTAATTGGTTCTGAACTCTAGAGGGGATAAGGTAGTAGGAGATAAAAATACACTATTTATGTGTAATCAGTTTTTCCTCACATTTTTTGATAGATTCCAACTGTAATTGGTTCTGAACTCTAGAGGGGATAAGGTAGTAGGAGATAAAAATACATGTACACCTTCCTAGCTGAACTCAGGAACTAGGTAGATTTGGGATATTTCCATTGGCCTTTGGCCTTTTCCCTAATGAGTTGATTCATCCCTGTGGAGTCACAAGGACAGAAGGAGCACAGCTGACACAACATTTCTCAACAACTTCTTTCTTCCTTTCCTCCATGCCAGGTCATCTCCCATTTAAAGGAGGGGAGGACTGGCTACCCTGGGGTCGTTAGCCTTGGCAGCCACTAGCAACACCATTTTCCTAAACTGCTTTTGAAGCGATGGAAGACAGTTGTCCCAGGGGAAGCAAATAATAGCTGATGGTCTTCAGATGTGCCAGCCTCTTCACCCATCTGCCCAAATGCCACACACACCCTTGGAGCTAAGTACATGCACAGCAGCTATAGGTTCTTAGGTCAGACATATGCAGGCAATATTCTCTCAGTTCTGCAGATTCAGAAGGGAAGGTATACCCTTTGTATCTTTTGAGAGAATAAACCCAAACTATTTTACCTATTTCAGTAGTGACCAAAGAATAAAGCAACTGGATCCAGAAACTTCCTCAAAAGTTGGTTTTATTGCATCATAGGCACACTTTATTTTTAAGTTTCCGGCTAGCTGGGAATGATAATGCCTCCCTCATATATCTCTGAACATAAAAGTCTGTGGTACATAGTGAGCTCTCAATAAATTATTCTTATTAGCTATATTTAGTATTTACTAGACCCTTGAAGAATGGATCATACTTGAAGCACTAGGATAAATACTTGGACCATCTGTATTACTCACTGTGTAAAGTAGAAGCTTTGAGTAAGGTGGTAGAGTGCATTAATAAAATATAAACCTTATTTTAGAGTCATTTCGTTCATTAATATATCAGTCTCTCTAAGAGGTAGTGGAAAGTTTACTTCTCTTACTGTTTTCCCTTCATTCCAATAATCTCCCTAGGGAGGTTCAAATAATCTACTTTCTCCTTTAAGTAAAAATTCTTTTTGGGAGGAAATCTGTAAAGGAAAACATGCCTCTCTTAGGTATGTCATTATTACCAGATATTTTGGGTTTTATTTGTTTTTGTTTGTTTGTTCACAATTTTTAACATCTAGAGACTTCATAGAGCCATTTAGGGAATTCAAAAGAAAATTCCAATGAGGTTATTAGAGAATTTTTTTTGCAGGTTATTTCTACCCCTTTGTTAGAAGAGTATAAGATACCGATATGGGGTTTTATGTTAGACCTCAGTAGACATTGAAAGCCTTCTGATTGGTCAGTAAATTCAGCCACTAAAGAAACTGCTTTCTCTGGGCCCTGAAAACCCTTGGCCGTTAATAAAAGTTAAAGTTTTTGAACTAGTGAAAGACTCTACTTGCCAGACAGTCAAATTATTGGTGTCCTTAAGGTTAGTTACTTGTCCTAGTGTATAGCCTACCAAGGAAGAGAAAGAAAAGTTGGTGTATCTCTTTGAATGTGTTCACTATTTTTAATGTGTTAATGGGATTTTCTTTATCAGTGTATGAAAATGAAGACCAGTTACTTTGGCGTCCTGATGTAGTTTTGGAGAGCAAAGTTAAGGAATATCTTGTTGAGACCTCATTAAGAACTGGATATGAAAAAATAATGGATAAAATTTCTGCAGGAACTCACACAAGGGACAATGAACAGGTATACTTCAACTTCTGTCGAAACAGTAGCCACCTTCAAGTATCTTCCTGATTTCTTACATTTAATTCAAATATTTCTTATGAATGAAAAAATAATGGATAAAATTTCTGCAGGAACTCACACAAGGGACAATGAACAGGTATACTTCAACTTCTGTCAAAACAGTAGCCACCTTCAAGTATCTTCCTGATTTCTTACATTTAATTCAAATATTTCTTATGTGTAAATTGTATATCTCCCTTCCTGATAGATTTTTTTAAATTTGCAAAATACTGGTTTAAAAAATATATATAATCTTGAGACATAGAGGTAACTACCCTATATAGTTTCATGTCTTTTCTTTTGGGTTTTTTCCTATACACATACTACTTTAAATGCCATTTTATATCCTTTTAATCACTTAGTCTTCAATTGCTGTTGGGAATTTTTTAATACCTCATTCTTGATGACGATGTATTCCATTCTATACTTGTAACATCACTTATTTCAGACATTCTCTATGGTTGGACTTTCACGGTAAAGGTATTCTTTGAATTACTCTTGAACTTTATTGAGGAAGTGATTAAGAGGTAATATCTATTAAGAGGGTACAGATTTGATTTAAGAGCATTTGCTAAGTACTTACGTACATGTAGATGTAGCTCTTCTGATCACATGTGGGATGGGGGCTGGGACTATTGCTTATTAAGGGTTGTTTGAATGCTCCTAGTTTTGCCCCTTTTACATCATTTTGCCCTTCTTGTATGCCTTTTTCACTTTGTATCCCCAACCTAAGTGATCCTGACTTGTGTACCCAGAAATAGGTAGACTCAAACTTGAATTCCCAAGTAACATAGAGATGTCATACTAGCTGAACTTCAACATAGTTTAGTCAGCTGTCAAAAAGAAATCCTATTAGATTTTTGCATTGATATTTTTTGTTGTTTATAAATTAACTTTGGAAGAATTCATACCTTTAAAACATTAAACTTCCCACTCCAAGAACATCATCTGACTCTCCATTTACTTGACTTTTTTAATCATTCATATGTTTTTGTTTTTTGGAACATCACATTCATCTTACTAATATAATTTCCCAATATCCTTTGTGTGTGTTTGTGTGTGTATATTTAATGCTATTGTAAATAGGACCTCTGTTATATTTATAATTGTATAATGTTGATATAGAGAAATACCAATTATTTTTTAAATTTTATCTTAAGCTATTTGAAACTTTGATTTTTCAGTTGCTTCTTTTATGTTTTCTAGCGTTCAACAAAGTTATTAATATTATTATTGATTGACAAATCATAATTGTATAAATTTATGGGGTGGTTTTCTAGTTTTAAAGTCATTATTAAATTACAC